CACCTCCGCTCTCCCCAACGCCGTTGTCCGACCCCCTGCAGCAACGCGTCGTCCCCTTTGTCTTAGCCAAGATCCGATCAGCACCGACGAGCTGCCCAACTCCAGTCGCTCAGCCACCCCACGGTGACCCCCGGTAGCCTCCACCTGCATCGCCTTCAGATTCGTCATCGGACATCGTGCTCTACCCGCGCTCAGATCAGATCCGCGTCGCGCCAACATCGTCGAATCGTTCGACAATATCCCAAGGCATGATCCCTCTTGCTCGTTGTCTCGTTAATTTATATTTTTATCTCAATTATGGATTTATTACGTATGTGCGTAGATTAGTTTGTGCTGATATGATATTAATTGTGTGGTTGTTGGAAATTTTGCGGTGAATATATTCTGCGAAACGATGAATAAGTATGTCAAAAATATAGTTTATGGTTAAATTCGTGTTGTTTGAAAGGAAGAATATATTTATAGAGTATTTTTACAATTATTTATAATGAGGAAAATATTTTAAAAGGAATTATTTCGAGAAAATAATTTATTTTGGATAAGGAGTATTTTTGAATACTTGTTATGACTAAAAGAATTTTATTTTAAGAAAAAGAGTATTTTAGATTATTTTATAAAATATCATAGAAATCATTTCTAAATAAAAAGGTATTACTGTTTATAAATAATAATAGAATATATTTTAAGAAGATCATTTTAGAATTTTTATAATGAGAGATAATTTTAAAGAAAATTATTCTTGGAATTAATAACTGAGATTTCGATTTTCGTGTGCAAAACATCTGTTAATGTTAGTTTCATCTTGCGTTGTTAATAGTAGATTTACTCTCGTATGTTTCTTATATGTGATCACGACTCATGTTCACACTTTATGACAATGACACTTAGCGTAACTGCATTTATTATTTCATGTTGAGAATCATGAGAAGTACATGACTTTAGTGATATGTATGACACAGTCAGGATCTAGAATCTCATGTGTAGTTGACCTAGAATTACGAGAATTGGGGTGAGAAGTCTTGGTCTATGTGAGCGGTTGGGATTGTTGATGTATTTCCAGGCTCGTGCCGGTGAAGTTTGTGTAGTCATCGGGGTGGGTCTGAGGAGTTGAGATATTTGTGAATGTTGATGTATTTTCCAGGCTCGCACCGATGAAGTTTGTATAGTCACCGGGGTGGGTCTGAGGAGTTAAGCTATTTGTGATTGTGGTTGTATTCCGAGCTCGCGCCGGTAAAGTTTGTGTAGTCACCGGGGTGGGTCTGATGAGTTGAGATATTTGTGTATTCCGGGCTCGCGCCGGTGAAGTTTGTGTAGTCACCGGGGTAGGTCTGAGAAGTTGGGATATTTGTGATTGTGATCTATCAGTTATCCGATAATAGGAGCCAGTGACCTATTGTAGGATGACTAGTTACATGACTTAGATTCTTGGCTAAGTATGATTCTTGTGAGATGTAGATCAGTTGTATTTCTTTCCATACATAGATCGAAATAAATATTTAATTATTTACAATTCGAGACATATGGTATATGGTATATACATGAGGGTTTCCTTGTTTGGATTATTTCGTTCGACGTACTACGTCTCTTGTTGTAGATTTTTAAGTATTAATTCCATTTATTGTATGACATTGTTGCTTAGATGGTTTCTGATCGCTACCTGCATGATCTTGTTACTTGGTTGATTTTTGGATTCTTCTGATTATTAGTATTCCAGTTGCATGCCCCTATCGTTATTACTATTATCACATGTTCTATTTCTATTTCTGTTATCGCATTGACCACGCATATATTATCATTACTGTTATTGTATTTATTTCTGCCTTGGGGGATCTTGCCGTGTGTTATACACGCTGACGTACTCCTATTTTCTGGGTGTACGTCAGATTTAGGAGACAGACAGCCTCAGTTCGGAATCATACAGGAGCCAAGGATTCTCAGTCGGGTGCCTTGCAGAAGGAGTAGAAGAACCAGCTGAAGCGTAGTGGTTTTCTTTCGTAGTAGTAGTTGGACATTAAAGCTCTTTTACCGTACTTTTCTTTAGTTGATGTTGGACTTAGTATTTTAACAGTATTTTCTTTATGGACTATGTATTTCTTATTTCCTAGTTAGACTATTTTATAATAAGGGTATGTTAGACCCATATTTTATGTCTGGAATGATTTACTTTTGATGATATGTCTATTCCTTATTCTGAGTTGTCTTTATATTCTTGCTATTTGTGATCGGGGACCTGTAACTTCGTATTGTATTTATTTCTAGACGCTTAGCGTATTGGATTGAGAAGAAAATAAGACAAAAAAGGGTAGGGTATATTTCTTCTCAATCTAATACGTCTCGGGCTTGTTCATGTTCCGATTCCCGAGTATTTTGGGAAGCGGGGCGTGACAATGTGTGTGTAACCAATGAGTATAAATAAAATCAAACTCGAATTACTCTAGCAAGCAAAAATATAACAATTAAAATATAAACAAGCTAGATAATGAATTTAAGAAAAAATTCTCTAAAAAAGAGGGATAAAGAATTAAGGTTGAACTCCACAATGATGAAATCGATATTCTCCTCTTTGTGAAACTTTCTTCACATTAAACACACTTAAACTCTCTCGAAAACTCAGAAACAAACTGCCCAAAACTTATAAAAAAAACCTTAAGAAAGACCAAAGCAAAAGGGATATTTATAGACCAACAAACACAACTGCCAAAACTAGCCTTTGCTGCTAAAAATAGCTGATCGGTCGACTGACGATGTGCGTCGGTCGACTGATAATGTGATCATTGGCTGAGTTGGCAGATTCTGAAATTTTGCGTAGTTAACCTTCTAAAATCAATTAAAAATAAAAAATCAACTCCAAAAATAGTAAAATTTTGTATAATGTTTTTACACATAACGATAAACATGTTAAAGAAAGAATTTCCTAAATATCACTTTTATTTGTGAGAACTCACTATTTTAAATCAGATGTTTTAGATTCTGAAAATTGCTGAACACTTAGTTTTGTAAAATCAATTTAACATAGTAAATCAACTCAAAAAAAATAAAACTTTGGAAAATATTTATACATATGATATTGAACAGTTTAGAAAAAGAATTTTTTAAATTTCATTTTCCATTTGTGAAAACTCATGTATTTTTCAAACTATTCAAAAATACGAAAACGTTAAAACTTGATTTTGATATAATTTCTTCAAACAAGTTTTGAACCACTTTAAAATAGATTAATAGATTTAAGAAAAGATATAAAATAGCGTAATCAAGTATTTAATCTATAAATACATTATTTCCAAAACAAAGATGATAAATATGAAAAGAAACTATATGTATATATAACTATTAGTTTCATCTTGTACGATTTAAACTTGAAATGATGAAATGAATAAAATGTGTATGTGTATGATTGAGCATAAAGCATAACACATAAAGTAAACTCATAATCTACAAATAATATATCCAAGCAAATGATCTTCATTAGGTTCAATCTTGGTAGCATGGATGAAGCGCGATATTGAATCTTGACTTGAATTGTGACGGTTTCATTCCGTTTTCCTTCTAACCTCCTTTGAATATCATTGTTAAGCTCAATTCTAACCAACTTCCAACGGAGGACATTTGTATAGATTACCTAACAAAACAAATGCAAACACTTGGCACACGATGTTAGGAATTGTTTGTTAATCATCAAAACTAGATTAGATATAATAGGCTCATAAACATGAGACCTAACACATAGATTTGTTGGCATCAAGTTTTTTTGCACCATCAACCATACCTATGAAATGCATTTAAACCAATCATATATGAAGGGAAAAGTAAATCATATTACCACAAAACAACTAAAATCCATCAACTATCATATTCATAAAACACACATAATTATACAAGACAAATGTAACAAGTAACAAATTAGTACAAGTCTTAGATAAATGAAAATAGAGTTTGACTCTAAAGGATTTTAATTACATTGCACACATGAAATTAGTCTATTCCAGTTGTTGTTGTGTCACCTGGATGATGTCGGGCACAATAATCTACCCACATTTCCCAATCAATTTGATTCCTACGAGCTTTCCATTCATTTCTTGAATTTGTTCTCTCTGAGTCTGTGATTGAGTAAAGTCTACCAAGTTTTCTCCATCCTCATTTGCTAACTCACCATCATCAACTTCACTCTCCACAGTCTCATTAAGGAAGTCATCCTTAGGATTCTCTATTGCAATATAGTTATGAAGTACTGCACAAGCGAGAGCAATATGAACTTATGTGTGAAAAGGGTAATGAGTCTTTGTAGAAAGAATCTTGAATCGATTCTTGAGTATTCCAAATGCACACTCAATTTTAGACCTAAGAGATGAGTGTCGTAAATTAAACAAGTCTCTTCTATTTTTAGATGTTAATCTGACATACTCTTTTAGATGATAGCGCATACCACAATAAGGAGAGATGAAACCAAGCATAGTAGTGTATCCCGCATCACAAATGTAATACTTTCCTACATATTACATCATAAGAAAGTTAATAATTGCTTGAATTTTAAAAAATTATAAATTTGTTAAAAACTTAATTTTATTACCATCATAGACTCTTGTAGGCATCGAAAATTGCCTATAGGTCTCAACAACCGGTGCAGTCTTAAAGAGCGACGATGAACGTCACCATCCGATCCACAAGAGTCCAATTGACGTCGACGAACGATTGAGGTGAATCGACGAGCTACGTGAGCGGATAGGATTTCGGGACAACGAAGACCCGGACAAATCGGGAATCCGGCACTGTTCACAAAAAAGACAACACCCTTCATGCCTCGACCACTCTACAGATAATCCAATCACCAGAGCGGATCGAACTCCTCGTCAAGCATCCAACGCACCCGGAATCACTCAAATCCGAGTTCGGACGAAGAATCTACAGGGAAAACAATAATACACCTCAAACGGAGTCCCGGGAAGTCGAAACACCCCGGGGGTGTCTAGGAAAAGCCTAGACACCCCAGGGGTACCCCAAGGGTGTCTCGAAATAGCCCCCTAAGGGCCTTTGTTTGAAAGGGAGGATTTTTGGAGAGCATTGGCGAAGCCCTGCTGCAGCAAAGAGTGACCGAGCGCTTCAACCAAGGAGGAGAGGTCGACATCAGTCTTCATCACCCTTTTTCCCCCCTCTTTCCTTAGTATTAGCCTTTAGCGTTGATACTAAGAAGAGCTAATACCTCGTTTTAGCCGAGGTATACGCTTATAGCTTCTAGATCTCACGCGGATCGACGAAGCTCTGTCCGATATTTCTGGATTAGAAGTTTCTAGATCTCACGCGGATCGACGAAACTCTGTCCGATTTATCCGGACCTGATCTGATTGCCCCGGTGGTCCACGGATATCAACATCCCCGTCACAGGCCAAAGACCCACGCAAGCGAGACCGCACCAAAACGGGATCTCGTGTTTATTTTCGAAAAGTTGTAATCATTGTTTTGTTGCACAAGGAGGTCTTATAAAAAGACCGACTTTTTATCGATTCTCGTTGTAACGTTTAAAGTTGTAACAGATTCAAAAGCAATGAAAACAGCGACTTTCACCGAAAACAACTCTCAATCCATGAGGTTGTGGTCTTGAAAGTGCACTTGAAGGACTCTATAATCGTTAGCTGAGCTCTCTCATCCTGCTAGCATGTATGTGAATAATTTGTTTGGGGTGCAAGCCACAAGAACATTCTGTGTCACCCCTTTGCAACTTCTAAAATGTGCTACAAGATTACCAGGTAGCATAGCATCAATGTGTGTTCCATCTATCATTCCAATACAGTCTTATAAATGTAGACAGATTTGTTAACTTTAATTTTATTTGTAGTCTTTTGAGAGTTGTGTTGAAAAGATACCTTGAAGTAAGGATAATATCGAGGGTTGTTGGCAATCTCTGATGGCACTTGATTTGGTGCTTGTCGAACGTAACGGACACGCAATTGACAAATGGCGTACAAAGCCTTATTGAAGTATCTACTAATTGTTTCTCCCGACCAAATGAAGTTAGATCTTAGTACCCTATTTTTAGTTTTATGACCCAATTTATTCAAGGATATTACAAGTTGTTCTCCAACCATAATGTGCCTAGAGTCTTTAAGTTGGACATCTATCCTCATCAAAGTTATAAGCTTGTCAAATGTAACTTTACGCATTCTTACATAGTCTTTACAACTAGTAGAATAACCTTTGAATGTCCTAGACAATTGTGCAAATTTGTACCTTCAATTCACTATCTTTTCTAATCTAGGTACATGAGTGATACACCTTTGTCTAGATTGTAATCTCTTTATAAAAGTAACCATCATTAGTAACACCGTCATAGCACCCCAGATACAATCCTCATCATCATCTCCTCCTCAACATTATCCATCTACAATGCCATACATGCAAATAGAATGTTACATACATAAGCAAAAATACATTAATAACATTGCCAAAATGAGTTTAACTTAAAAGTGATTATAGAAAACAAGTTTATACTTATCGAGGCAAAGTGTAACTTAAGACTAGCACTAATATGATTTATTTACAAATTGTCAAACTGACACTAATAATCAAAATCAATGCCTATTTTGAACTATCCAATAAACAAACGAGCAACATCAAACAATGCATTAACAAAAAATAATACAAGGTTTACAGATAATAGGCCTGTAATCATGATAACTAGAGTGTAGAAAAAAAATAATTCATTATCAATATTAGCACAAGCCAAGTGTATAGACCTATAGGCATGAGAATCCGCGAGATCATATAATGAATTTGGGCATATATGATTAAGAGCTGCAAACAGATTTAAATTTCGACAATAAAATAAAGAATTTAACACTAAGATGAACTTCTTCACAAGAAAAGGCCTATAAGGCTATGGAACCGAGAGATCATGTGGTAAGTTGAGTGCACCACACATTAAAATATAAGATCAACAATAAATTCTCAAATTTGAGAATAAAAGACAAAAATCCAACATTGCCTTTTTATTTGAAATACAGATATATTGTACGGGACATATACTAATTTGTTAGTTTTCATTGTGAAAATACCATCACTTGAGGTTAAAGAAACAATCAAAATTTCACAAACTTGATTGTGGTGGTTATGCAACATGACTTAATTATTAGTTTATTTTGCTCATATATTAACAAGTTATAGTTCTAGTTCATTTTACTACCAAGATAGAAAACCTAGAAAACCTAATGAAAATAGTTTATAGAAAGCTCTGTTAAATCTACTTACATCACACACATAATCTCACAAATATTTATGATGTTAAGGAGCATGGAAAGGAAGTGATTAAGATGCACTCATGGACTTGATTTTGATCCCTCATAAAAACTTACCCAAGTCTGAAGGATCATCAATATGCTTTATAGGCAAGAAATTTTGAGAGATTGTGATAAATAAACAAAAGACAACATATTTCAATAGAAAATCAACAACAAGTTGCCAATTTTGAAAAATTCAGCAGTATTTGAGCATGAAATTGAACAATAGTATACTTTAATTAAATAAAAGCAAGCACAACATGCAGCTGAGTGAGAGGCGATTTGATTAAAAAAAGTAATTTTTTTCTTTAAAAAATGAATTTTTACCTTCCTATTTGCTTTGATTTCAACAACAGGAACCACCAGGTTCGGAAAAAGCACAAATCCGAACTCCGATTCGCTTGAAAAGAGAGATCTTTAGGAACATAAGGAGACCTAGTGTTTTTTCCCCCAAATCTTAAGATGAGGTGCAAGAGGGAGAGGGAGTAGCAGCGATCTTAAAAGATAGCTGATATTTTTCCTCAACTTTTTACAGATGAGAACGAGAGAGACGGAGCAACGATCTAGGGTTTTCTTTCCTCTCGGGAACAAGAGACGGAAAGGAGAGGGAGAGATGAAATGGTGGCGCGAGCTGAAAGACCCACGAGAAGCTACCCACTTATTGTGTCCCATCTCCTAATATTTTATTATATCACACCCCCTTTTCCACAGTTTCACTTCCACCACTTTCAGCCTCTACTAAAGGATTTGTTTTCCATCAACATTCCAACCTTTTCTCTATTTGTGAGAAAATTTTCCTTTTTTTTTTTTTTATGAAACAAACACAAGAATAGGAAGTGTTTTATCATCATTTGATTTTTTACTGACAGCAACAGTGTCTTTCCACTTCTTTCCAACTTTTTTTGTTTTTCAAACAAACACACCCTAAGTAGAAATGGCTTCTCTATTATTAATTGTTCTATTTATTTTTTTTTTCTATGCCTCCTTTCTTATTATATGTTTTCTACATTTAAAATGAATATGAAAACCTTTCAACTTTCTTGACAGTAACCATCCACTGTCTTTATCTCGATGGTACCTCATCCTTGACGTCTAAATATTTGCGTCCTCTTGATACCTAGCTAGTATGTTTCATGAATGAAAATTACCTCAAATCTCTCTTTTTCCACTATTTTATGCTCATCTGTATGTACTTTTAGCATGTGGTGCCCAAGATTGTGCGCAAGGGCAATGACCGCTGTCTTCTGATTGTTTCCTTAACAGTTCATAGTTAAGGTTGAGTTTGTTTTAAAGCTCAACTATGAGATACCCAAGCTATACGCAATCTACGATGATGACTTACGAGCACACTATAGGCAATACGGAATAATTTGCCATATGATTTTCAAAACCTCCTGAGAAGGAAATGAAAATCTCTTCAATGCCAATTTGAGTTCTTGCAAACAAACCAACGACCAACGATGCATCTAGCCTGCTTCATTTCGGATAAAAACATACCTTAGTAGCCAAATAACAGCTTCAGATTTGCTGTTTCAAATTTATCTTAAAGAAGATCCTGAATATAACTCTTCAGGAGAGAGCTGTCTATTAAACACACTATCAAACAAAACTTCTTAAATTTTCAGTCACCCTGAAACAATGCCTCTTTCGTTTATCTCTTGTGCGTTATATATGCAACCATACGGAGGAAAATAGATTCTTTCTTGTGAAGCTTAGATTAATGTCTTCTTTCGCTCGATAATTTTCCAACCTTGAAAATCATACAAACTTTGGCTTCAAATGTTTTCAAATCAAAGGCCAAACAACCAGCCATTTCAATATCTAACATCAAAAGCAGTCGAAGGCTCCAATCCATATATATATTAAATAAAAAAGGAAAATTTTTGAAGCATCAAGTACTAGATTTTGTTTTTGTTTAAATACAACGTACACAGAACATATGGTATACTCAAGCCAAAAAAAAGAAAAGAGAAAAAACAAAACTATAATCAAATAATCATATATATTATATATATATATATATATATATATATATATATATATATATAATATCTTATATATAATGTTATCCATCCTCCAGCAAACTTCCCTGCTGAACATGCATGCATGTCGTGCTGCAATATTTGTAATTATACCTGTGGAAAGGAATTTTTCCAGCCAAGGAAGCATTACAACATGAGCAAGCAACATCATTTGAGCATCCTTTGGATCCAGAATTACTTGGAGCTGCTACTGTGGCATTTGTTCGATTGGCATTTAGAGCTGCAATTCTTCTCTCAGCAGCAGCTGCTCTCTTTTCTCTTTCCTCTGCCAATGTCCTTTTTTGCTCCTCCTGAATAGAAACATAAAGTAATTTAAATACCAAAAACAAGTTAACAAACTAATTATTCTTATTGTTGTGGTCTAACCTCTTTAGAAATGATGAGTCTGCCACGAAAATATGGCTCCTTTTTAGTACTAGCAACTGGGACAGATCCTTTCCCTTGTAACGCAGATCCTTGGTCATTTGGAGAATGCAGAGATACATTTTGGGCTTCGGCAGCCTGGGCCTACAGTCACAGACACAATGTTGACAGTATAAATCAAGCAGCATAGCAGAAAACAAGAAAATCAAAATAAACCATTTTAAGAGATGGCCAGATGAATCTCTCTTATCCAATACAGTTTTAATAAATGCCACTTACATGCCTAGATTTGAATATTTCCAATCTTCATGCAAATTAATGGCACGATAATGATATGCTGAAGAGGTAAGAATATGTTTATTTTGTTTATTGTTGCTTGAAAAAGGATTCTGCTATATGTGGCTCCTTACGGAGAAATGGCATTTCAACTGTTCAGTCAAAAAAGAAGTGTCTTTCCACTTTTTTTTTACTGGATAGAGCCCGTGGTGTAAGTGATAGCAGGATCATACTGCCATAATTGTAAAGGGCCAGATAGTGAAGAGGTGACGGAGCTGGATGATGACAACATGGTGCTGGTAGGAGAGAATGATAAATGCAGGGTAACATTAGTTGGAGTTCAGGTGTTGGTCAGATCCCAGATGCGAGGTAGGAGAGAATGATATATGCAGGATGAGAAACTTGAAGGTGTAAAAAAAAGATAAAAAGTTTATTTAATCAGAAGAAGGCGCTATAAGCATTGAAGAGATTTGACTGAAGGACTGCTTCTGAACTAAAATTACTATAACAATAAGATAAGTAGTTGAAGCTTGGAATTTTTTTTGTGGCACACCTTTCTCTAAACAATGTAGTTTCAGTTATAACTAAGACACCAAGACTTTGGATAATACATATTTATGAAATCAAAATTAATTTTAATCAAGTTTAGTTGGACATAATAAGTACATGAAGCATCAAATTGGAACCTTCTTTTTGCTCATAAGAAATAAGGTTGGAACTAAATTTCAAGCCCCTGAGGTGGACCCAAGAAAGACTTCAAGGCTAGAGGCTATTTACTACAGTTCTTGGCTGAAGTGAAGGGGGTGTTTGGGAAGGCTTATTTTTTGGTCAAACGAGCTTTCAAGCTTGCTTTTTTATTTCTACATGTTTGGTAAAATGCCAAATAAGTTAGCTTATAAGTCTCATTTTAAAAAGCTGGTATACCCCAGCTTTTAAAAACAAGCTTATAGCAACAAACTAGTCCGAATAAGATACAATTTAGTGGATGTCAAGGGAAATATATTAGATTTATCAATCTAGTGAAGACTGCAGAATCAATAACCCAAGAATCTTGAGATGAAATAGCAAGACATGAAATAACTGGATGAGCCTAAGTAGATATATTAAATATCCTTGGCAGAACCTAGTTGCATTTCTGAATAGAGAATCATAATCTGCTTTTTGTGAAAAATAAAGCAGGTAGTGCCTGACATAGCAGTATAATCCTTTATACTTGGGAGAGTTGAGACCATTAAGCATAAGAGAAGGAGAAGGGTTGCTGTACATGGATAGTTTTTTCTCCCAAAAATTGAAAGAATTGCCATGACATCCAACTACAAAAAAGCACAAAAAAGACACTATGTTTAGAAGGAAAAATGATAAGGGAGACAAACCCTGAAACTAATGCTTATACTGAGACCACAAGATGGCCATTTGCTAGCACGAAACTTAATGGTAAACCTAACACGTCAGAAAATCTAAATATTCACGAAGTTGTTGACTGCATGGAAGCTACTTAAAAAGTCAATGCAGCTGCTTATGAAAGATGAGTCAAGAGAACATGTTTCTGCTATAGTATTTTGTATGACATCTATCTGGTGTAACAAACCTACCCCACACTTCCAATCACTCTCTTTGTTACTAATATCTCCAGAATATGATAAGTCAAAAAGCTAATAGTGGTCTACAATGATATATTTAGTTGCAATGATAGTTGATAGAACAGGTTATAGTATCTCTCAACAAATCAAAAGATGTGAAGCAACAATAAACAATATGAAATAAAAAATCATTCCAAATTAGTACTCCTTAAGGAACTACCGCAGACCTTTGCCTTCTCTTTTGCTTTTCGTAATTTCTTCAATTCTTTTGCTTTAGCTTTCCTCTTGGCATCCTTCTCTGCCTACAAATGCATACAACTCAAGTTATAGGTAGCAATACAACTATTAGGTTACTCAAGAAAATTTTAGCTGGCACTATCATGGAAATCTCTTTTAACTTAAGAAATTATTTTAACTTAAATTTCTTTAGCTAGAATTATGTAAGCAAATGCAGCAGTCAATGTACAGGAGTGAAAAGGAATACCGGTCAGTTGAAAAGAAACAACAAGACAAAATGACCATTTTTCCCTTATAATTATTGGGGAAAAAGTATTGGTGAACTCTCAAAGTATCAATTAGCGTATTTTCCCCCTAAAACTATGAATATGAGCCCAATGTGGTCATTTTATGAGCCTACACTAAAAACTTTAACAGATTAATGGTGTGATTTTTTTCCTTCTTCTTATTATTATTTTTTGCATTTATTGTAATTTTTACAATCTAAAAAAATGATTTTTTAAAGGGTTATATGGGTAAAATGTTTTGGGAGAAAATAGTTTAAAAAAAAAAAATTTAGTTAGAGGAAAAAGAAGATAAAAACTGATAAAAACACTATTACTTCATTAATCTGTTAAATATTTGACTGTAGACTCACAAAATAACCACATTGAAACCATAAACATAGTTTGTGAGGCAAAATAGGTAAATTGATACATTAGGGGGCAATTTGAGAGTTCACCAAGGCTTTAAAGGGGAAATGACCATTTTGTCCAAAAAATAATACCAAAACTGTATGAGATCCAGCTACTTTTGCAGGAACTAGTATAGGCCAGACATTCTCTGTCCTTGCTGATATAAGCAAATAGATAAATACCAAATATACTGAGATTTATGAGTAACAGTATCAAGGAGCTGGTAACCAGATATTCTGTCTTTTTCACTCAAAGATGTGGCAGTTTACCCAAATTATAAATAGGGGCAGAAAGTACTCAAATCACATATCAGCTCATTTCGATATCCTAAATGACTTAGCATAAACTAGACAAGTTCGATATAAAACAGGACCAAACCAACAGCGGTCTATCAACTTATATACAGAAGAAGCAAGAGCATGTAAAGACACAAGATGAAGTTTCATCAGTAGAGAATAGTAACAGAAGAAGCAAGAGCGTGTAAAGACACAAGATGAAGTTTCATCAGTAGAGAATAGTAACGTTATTAGTCAATCAGTTAATGATAATGGGGCTGGTTTTGGTGGATATTCGTGTTGGAGAGAAGGGATGAGTAGTGGGGGAAATTTGAGCAGGTTAATATGACCATGTAGAATACCTGCTTGGCCGCCTGAGACTCCTCCATTTCCTTTGTCAATGCACTAGGTACATTGGCTACATGCCAATCCCATTTGTCAAGGTTTGAAGCCATATATCTTCTAAAGGTATTCCTGACTTCCTTCTCTGTTGCCAGCATATATGGAGTTCGACCATGGGCATCTCTGATACAAGGATCCAAACCTTGTTCAAGAAGATCAAGAGTTCCTTGAGCATCACCAGATTTTGCTGCCTCATGCAGTGGCGTCGTTTCACTTTCACAAAGTGATGAGCCTATATTTTCACCCTCACTTGGTGAACACTCTACAGCTGGTCCAGCTAAAGATTCATTTATCACCAAGCTTTCTTTTAAGTGGTTCTCAATCATTTGCCTATTGCTATTTTCTTTCTTGTGAGCAAATGAAGCTAAGACTTCCTCCAAATTGGATTTTGATTCATTCTCATAGGCAACACGTGTCAAATGGTTATATACACGTTTGGCTTCCTTCAGCGTTGGCCTATGAACAGTCACAGGGACATTACGAACAGGATGGCTATGTAAAGTAAAATGTGGCTTCTCCAAATCAAAAAACATTTGACGGTTCTTTGCAGGAGCATAGACAAAAATGCATGAGGCGGAATCAATATACGGCTTCCAAGTAACAAGCAGTTCCTGAATTTCCTGCAACAAAAAGTTAATAAAGAAAATAAGAACTTAAGGACACACATTTGGAAAGGGTACTAATAACATTTCCAGGATATAAACATGATACAAAGTGATCACAGTACACGAGTATCAGGCCAATTCACACTGACAACACTAATCCATGCATCCGGCATATCTACATAGGTAAATTCAGAACTAAAAATTAGGTATTTGTAACATGACTGCATGGAATATGGTCGAGTTCAATCAGAATATGTTTAATATTAAAAACTTTCTAGCTCATTCCACTAGTACCTTACCTTTTTTAGTGCAGCTTCATTATGCCTGCGAAGAGAAGAACCTGCAGAATTTGCAGTTTTTCCAGTTGCATCTTTGGCAGATTGTATCTTGCCAGCCTTGGCCCTAACAACATATCTGTAGATTGATGGCAGAGGTCACAACGCAATGTAAAGGGGCAAAAAAACAAAGCAAAGGCATGGAGGAAATGAATCTGCAACACCAATCCAGTAAAATTCAAGCTTTTCTAGCTCCATGGATATATGTATCTAATGCATACAACAAGCAATCTGTGGCCACAAATTAGGAGCAAACTTATTGACTTAGATCAATAACATCTCTGAATTCATCAACCATTAGGATGCTCAATTTTATAAACACAATGCCAAATGTCAATTTGGCAGATATAAATCAAAAAGGTAGATCATCCAAAGAAATCATGTAACAGCAAATAATAGCACAATATGAAAATAAGGCTTGAAAATGGATCACCCATACAGATATAAGTTGGAAGTTTTAATCCTCAAAGCAATCATAAAAATACAGTGTACTAATAAAAGAAGGCATCAAAGAACAAAATATGCATCACAAAGTGGTAACCCTTGTGATTTAGAAACTGATTTTAATAAATAGTTGTAAAGAAATAGAACCACAACCAAAAGATGTGGCTTGAAAAGCAAAAGTCAGCAGACAGGCTTCTTCAGAAGATAATCATTATGATAGTGAAGCACAAGGGTAAGGATAATGAAATTTATACTGTTCTGCATCTTGTGCAAAAGAAGTGTACTTATAATAAACAAATAAACATGCGTTAACCAATATAAGCACCTCAAACAACCCTTAATCCTACCAGACTGATGCTAAATAGAAACATCATGAGGTCGTCCAATGTCAAGACACACCTGTAAACTAGAATACAATCCAGGAAATTAATATGGAAAAATGACAAATACAATGCAGTTAAGAAATTATTATACTAACCTATGAAATGTTTTGTGGGCTACAACTGAGTGCCCATCGAAAACACAGCCTGCAAAGTGTCCACCGCTCATAAGGAGAATGATCCTTAAGTGTGTTTTATCTCGTGGCTCGCGAACCAAAAGTTTTAATCTACTGATCAACTCAGCTTCCTCTGCGTATGCGGAAGATCCAGCATTGGCTATATTGCCTGACTTACCATTCTCAAGCAAAAGGCCTTCAGACTCATCCAGAATTATGCTTCTATGAATAGAAATTATCTCTCCAGAATGGAGGTGGAGATAAAGTTTCTGTTTATCTCCTTCTTTTCCCTTTCCCGATATGCCCAAGTTTGGGATGACACCTTTTTCAAACTCATCCTCTGAACCAGATATGCTTGATACATCAAAATCTTCAAATAAAGAAACGCTCTCAACCTCAAAGTCTTCTTCCTTGATAGTTTCCTTACCAGCAAGGCTCAGTTTAACCTATTAATTCAAAATGCATAAATAGACAGTACAAAACATTTATGCGTACTAGGATGTGTACAAGTCATAGAAAGGGAATGATAATAGCTTTGCTGCAGGAAATTACATTCAACTTTATGGCGTAGACAAAGCTAACAAACAATACACATTTTTCAACATATATTGCATTCTATACGTAAAAAAATTAATTCGAATATTCATATAAATGGTCTTGCCTTTTTAACAAGAAGTCGTTTGATTAATAAAGTTTACTTTTCGTCTTTCTGTCACCACCAACATGACGAGCAAGAAGACATCGGCACGAGATGATTTTGAGTCGATTCTGAGAGCCTCCGGACCTAGAACCCGTCTACAGTCCGGAACCATCGAACGAGCAACCTATAGTAGGGTTCGGACAAGACGCCCTTCAGAAGATGAAGAATCTGATGCCGGCTCCGCGGTTGCATCAGATAATACAGTATCCAGCGAGGGACAACCCCGCGAGGCACTTATGATAAGTGCAGAGCAAATGGCCAAGATGCTTGAAGACGCTTTGGTTAAGCAGAAAGAAAGTTTCAAATTCGAGATGGAGATGGCCATGCAACAGATGAGAGAAATGCAAGACCAACAAATCCAAGCATTAGCGAACCAACAAGGCGAGCAGAATCATCGTAACCCGGTTAATCCGGAAGATGAGGATACAAATGCTCGTAATACCAATGATCCTCCCGTCAACGCAGGGGGTGGTAATGAGAATGCTGGCGAAAACACCGGCGAAAACCTGAAGATCAAGAACCTCGAGAGCAAAATCAACACATTGATCTCCGCTCAAGAGACGAAGAAAACAGGCATTCCTTGCCCATACCCAAGAGAATGGGAATCGATCCCATATCCGGCGAAGTTTAATCTAATTAACTTCACGTCGTTTAATGGGATGGGTTCATCTACCCAGCATTTGATTTACTTCAAATCGTACTTGGGGGTGATCTCTGGTAATGAGCCTCTGATGGTGCGGTCATTCGTCGGTACTCTTCGCGGAGCCACCTTCGATTGGTATCACCGCCTCAAGCCAGGCAGCGTAAACAGCTGGGACGATATGGAGACCAAGTTCCTAGCCAACTTTTTCGACGACGACACCGAAGTATCTATCGGATCGTTGCTCGATGAGAAACAGAAGGACGGAGAGTTAGTCGACACCTTCGTCAAGAGGTTCCGGAACAAGGCGATGAACTGCCGGGACCCGATCACCAATGAATTCATCCTCCAGACATGCCACAACAACCTTTCGCTGGACGTGTTGGAAGCAATGGGCACAGCACCGTCCAAAACATGGCAGGATCTGAAAATCCGGGGAGAGCAAGCTGAGCGATTCCTCAAGAGGAAGAAGGCGGAAAGAGGCCAACCGGCGACGAGTGTTCCAAAGCAAAACTTCGTCCCACGGGGGAAAGGTAAGGCACAAGCTAATGCAGTTGATGCTAATCAAACCTTTCAATTGCAACCACAGCAACAAGCACCCCAACAATCTCGAGGACAATGGCAACAACGGCCTCAGAAGCAGAAATCTGCGGAGCCGAGGTTTCCTAAAGTGTACTCCTTCAAGGATGATGAAGTTCCCGGCATCTTCAAATACCTGTTGGAGAACAACAAGATCCAGTTGCCGGCGATCGTGGATCAAGAAGGGGCAAACAAAGTGACGGACCCGAAGTATTGCGCATACCACAGAGCGGTCCATCACCCAATCAAGTCGTGCTACCACCTCAAGGACAAGATCCAGGCGCTTATCAATGTAGGCGTCATAACCCCGAAGCTGGCCAAGAATGTTGGAGCAAACGCGGTTTCAATCAGCTTTGGATCGGTGCCCACAACATGGTTCAAACCGGAGCGCATCACCAAAGTGGGGATGAAGAAAGTAAACGATGACCCACATGGACAGCGCCAAAAGGGACTTGTGCCACACACAGCCCCAAACGGCGAAATCCTATGGGTTCATCCTGACCTAATCGAAGATGAACAGTGGGCGACTTCCTCGAGAAGAAAAGGTAAAGGCAAGTCTTGCAATGCCACAACCGCAGTCTTCGTGGAGGATGGTGACGAAGCTCCTACCTTCCCGCTCTCCGAAGAAGAACAAGAAGTCTTCGCCACCAGAAGCGGAAATGAGTATCACTTCAACTATCCACCACCTAATGAGCAGGCGGTGAATAAACGGGGACCAGCCAAAACTCTCACGGAGATGGGAGTGATTACAAGTCCTACACCGGGTGAAGAGGCTCGACGACAGCCGGTGAATAAACCAAAAGAGAAGAATCCCCAAGAGGTGCAGAATCCGAAGCAGTCTCGTTTCAGCCGCCCGATTGGAAGAGACAAACCGGAGAGCTCGAACACTCCGCACAGCTTCGACATAATGGCTCAACTAGCCAACATTCCAGCACAGATAACGTTGTATGAGTTGCTGAGGTTATCCAAGGAAACTAGAGAGGCCCTACAAGAAGCTTTGGCCAATGCAGAGGTATTTCTGACTCAAGTCAAGCCGGTGCCTGAACAGCCAGAACCGCTGAGTCAACAGTGCAACATAGCGACTAAAAACCTTCCCTGCATTACTTTCACCAAAGAAGATATGCAGACGAAGAATTCGAACCACGATCGGCCGTTATATTTCGTCGGATACATTGGCTCCAGCCAAGTCAACCGAATCCAAGTGGATCCGGGTTCTGCTAACTGACAACTATAGAAGTAGAAGGAGAAGAGCACTAATAACTAATTGGCTTAACAAGCTTTTGGCATATATAGAGCTAGTATTTATCCTTTCTTACTAAGAGTTATTTGTGGCTTTCAAGAATTGTGCTATGGGTTTGAAGTTAACTTTGCTCATCTAATTTAATTAAAATTGTGCTCGTGTTTTTAAGTGTAGTGTGATTTCCGCTTTGAAATTAGTATAAGATTAGGATTGCTTCATGGATATTAGAGATATAACGTTACAATTATCATAATATTTAATTTTCCCTGCCTCCAAATGCACAGGGATGTCTCTTTTATATCCACATGCACACATGTAAGACATGCAAAATTAGCAAAATGGCCTTGACCCAATTACTGATCCAATTAACAATGACCTCCTTGTACTACCTAATATCCAAAGTAGTGTACCCTTTCCCATTGTATGATCCAAAAGTGTACTAAGCATCTGGAAACACTAGTTTACATTTAAAGACAAATAGGCAAAATAGATGATAATATAAAATATCATTACCATAATCAGCACTATCAACTAAGCCTTCCACTTAAAAAAGGGAGCCGCCTATTGACCACCAGATTTCATGAAATATTTGACAGTTTTATAAACATTAAAGCTCTAAATTGATGCCAAATTCATCGACTAAAGAAGTATGGAAGAGTGGTAACTGCAGTAACACAGTATAGAGCAGAACTGCAGCTTGAACAAACATTCTTGAAGTTTGGTTGGACTTTATGTGCTCAGCGTTTCCTTCTTTACCGATATCTAAGTGGATTTTCATGATACGCTGTTTCTAAGGAGAAGACTGCACCATGGTGTCATCACTGAAGGGCTAGAAAACTAAGAATCATGCTCCCTTCCAGTGCAAGAGCAACAAAGTGTACACTGGTGACACAAGGCACCACTAGATTGCTTACTTTATATATCCTTTATCTACTTTTACTTGCATTTACTACTTAGGACACAACTATATTTAGGATAGAATACCACTAAGGAAAATAAAATTGTAAAATTCTAAATGTAATTTCGAGATACAATTATGATAAGTTACATGGGGACACCACTTGGAGGAAATCCTAGATCTGCCGCTGCTCCGTTCTGCAGGTGAGCAGAAAACACACAATTCTCTTAACTTCTTTCTTATTCATTTTTCTTCTACTACTAACGGACTGGAGTCTGGCGCCCAAGGTTGTTGATAGCGGATCGCGTCGCGTCACGGCGAGGTACCGCTTAGGGTATTTCGGGTTATTGCAGCAAAATAGCGGCAAATAGCGCACGGTCAAATAGCGGTCAAATATAAATATATTTAAATATTCTAAATAATAAGAAAAATCATATAAAAATCTAAAAATTCTATAAATGCATACTTGATGCCTAAACATGAAATAGATGTGTGATAATTACATAATATTAACAACGTACTATAATTATAAAGATTAAAGAATGAAAAAAAAAACGTACCTGTTTATCCAAAAGATTGTTATTTGTCCCTCTTCAACTTTCAAGTCTCTAATATAAAAATGCTCAACAATAAAAAAATCATTGATTAGTATCATCATCATCATATTAACTACTAGAAAGTTGACCTAAAAAATAAAATATTCAAGTATAGATAAATGACTAAATGAGCAAAGCAAGATAATATCATGAATCGTGATAGATAATATCAGTCTACAGATACTAGGCAAGCAATAAAGATCAAACTCCAAACACATGAAATGTCCAAACTCCAAACTTAACACTCAAAAGTCTAAATCAAAGCTAAATAAAAGCTAGAAGTCTCAAAAGTGAAGTGATTAAAGTCTGAATTTGAGCAATGACGCATCATCACTCATCATCCTCATCATCAAAACAGGAAATTATTTTAATAAAAAAACCAAATTTGACGAGGAAAGTAAAAAGTCCATACATTGAGACGATGGACGTCGGATTTGAAGTGGATGCGCTGGTCGTGCAGAGAATCGAACTCAGACTTGCAAGTGTTGCAGGTCCATCTTGGGACTGCCTCCTTCTCATCGATACCGAATCCATTAATTTCTTCTTCTTCTTTATCGAAAATAGCGGCCTTTGATCCCCCGTCACTAGGGGAACCGAGACCAAGGTCAAGGTCCGATGAGGATGATGATGTTGGGAGAATAGAAGAGGACAGAAGGCGGCATGAATCGAAGAAATCGGGGGGGAGATCGAAGAGTGATCGAGATGTCGGATTGGTTGCTGCTCTGTTCCTTTCGCCCGTGGCCGCCATTGAATTAGAGAGCGAGGAACGGGATGACGAACTCGTTGTGGGTTTGGTTTGGCTAATGAATTGGCGGGCCATAAATGGCTATATTGTTTTGTCTTGCCAGATTTGGTTTGGCTAATGAATTGGCGGGCCATAAATGGCTATATTGTTTTGTCTTGCCAGATCCATTTAACGTTTTCTACATGGGCGTCTTCTTACCGGCCCATTTAAAAAACACGCTGTCCATATTTACGCTGCCCATTCAAAAAACACGCTGTCCATATGATTAGAACAATATTTATGTGCAATTCTGCAGTGTCTAATATAATCCTAATTGCACATAAATATTGTTCTAATCATAGTGCTTCAAAATACCTAGCAAAGAATTATAAACTTCCTATTAATTATACTAAGGTTTTAAACTTTGCATAGTGCACACGGATCATACAGGGGTAGCACAATCTAGACTTGCTAGATTAACTAAAAAAGAAAACCAAATATTGTTCAGAAAACATAAATATTCATCTAGCGTCATTAAAACTGAACATATTTGTTATCATTGTAGGAAACCAGTCATTATAAAAACAAATATCCATTGAACAAGAAAGATAAGAAGATGGAAGGCAAAAGTTTGAACGTAAACAAGCTAGTACATGATGAATGATGAAGAGACATAAGTTGGCTCGAGTGAGGACGAGAAGATGCGAACCTATGTCTTATGGGGAGAAACGGTGCAACTTCAGATTCAAAATTAGGTGAAACATACAATTGTAAAAGTGAAAGTTTAGAGAATGAGCTATATCATTAATATGAAGATAATTTTTCAAGTATAAAAAATGCTAAAATAATTTGAAAATTTTACTAAAAAATATGAAGTGACAAAAAAGTGTGTGCAAATTTAAGGAAAGAAAAGAAAACCTTATGTGGGAAAGTTGAATCCCTTTCCCTAAAGTTGGATTCACACAATTCTTCTTGTGATATCACCACAATTGATTGCACACAATATTCCGTTTTTTCAAGATCAAAATTTCTGTTATGTAAGGAATTAGAAGATAAAATCAATGAGAATGAAAATTTGGTTGCTAAGATAAATGAATTATTGTGTAATTTGTCTCCTGAATAAATAAAGTTTGAAATTAAATGCAGTACTATTGTTTCTAAAAATGAACAAGTAAAGTCCAACAATATTGATTTGAAAAAGGCCATGAAAAAAGTTTCATGGGTTCAAAAAGCCTAAACATGTTCTTTTCCAATCACGATTACGTGAGACCCTAAGGTCGCTAGGAAAGAACCCTAGAGGGGGGTGAATAGGGTTTATGCTAATCTAATCTGATTTAAATACCAATAAAAACTAATTAACAAATATATCTTAGCAAGTATGATATGCTACAAGATATGTGCAAGGATATACAATATAAACAAGGGTAAACAATATGATCATGCAATAATGGCGATATAACAATATGCAAGAATAAATGCGCTAATGTCAAATCCAAACACAAGGAAATGATCACGGAGTTCGGACCTTCCGTCCTACGTCTCCGCTACCCACTTCCGGGGAGAATCCACTACACAACCCGGTTTGAAAGCTGGAACTTCTCTACACACTCGGTTTTCTAGCTAATTGCACCCTTTTGAGATTGTTGGGTGTTTTCAATCTTTGGAACCCAAATTTTGCCGTTCTTTGATGGCACCATTTATTTCTTGTTCCTCTGCGCTTGTTGACGAAGGGCACGAGTACGAGCCGCCTTTGCTTGGCGCCTTTGTATGCGCTCTTTCAGGGTAGAACGGGCTCTTTTGACCAGAGTCCACTCCTCTTGGTATCGACTCCGTCCTCATCACACACTCCTCTCGGTGTACAAGTGTATTACAAAGTGATCTACACAATTAAGCACAATAACAAAGTGTTTACAAAGTGAAAACTCAATGTAAGCTCACACTCTAAGTCACACAATCCTACAACCCAATTATATAATGTATGCAAATACAATAAACTCAATGGTTGTGTGTGTAAACAAAGAGTAAATAAAATCAACTAAACTCAATATAAACACTAGCTTAATAAAATGGCCTTCACAACAACTAATGAAAGCTCTAATTCAACAGCCTTCACAATCAACATCGGGAGTTACAATTTGACGACTCTTATATTTTCAAGGAGCCAAGACGAAGATTACAAGAGGACGATCTGTACAAAGCTCTAGCAAAAGAGACTACAACAAAACTCTTAAACACTCTTTTAAACAAACTAAAACAAACTTTAAACACTTGTTAAACTTGTTTAAAATATTCTCTTGGATAATGGAAGAGGTAAATGCAATGGGGTATTTATAACAACCCAAGACATCAGCCAAAACCCAAGCAAAAAGACCAAAAACCCAAAAACAAACAAAACAGAAAACAAACCGTTACTGTGCAACGGCTCTCTGATAAGTCGACTTATGAGTCGACTAATGAGTCGCCTTATATGAGTCGACTCAGCAGAAGAAAAATCACAATTGTGCTGCACTTCATGAGTCGACTTATGAGTCGACTCATGAGTCGACTAATGAGTCGACTAGACATGCACAGACCTGAAGTGCAAGTCGACTAGACATGCACAGACCTGAAGTGCACAGAAAAACTCAACTTTAAACTGGGTTTAAAAATATCAAATAAATTTTGAAGTGCACAGAAAAACTCAACTTTAAACTGGGTTTAAAAATATCAAATAAATTTAGAAAAATGTAAATCTTTGGAAAATGATTGTAGGCATGATAATACACATACTACAAAAACTGGTTTTCTAAAAGGACCTTCCAAATATAAAATATCATCATTTTGCAAAATAGTCCAAAACATAAAAATGTAAACACATGAGTTTTGATATTTTAGCTTAATCATGTTTTGAATCATTACAAAATGAATATATAGACTTAATAGAAGATGTATATCATTATTGTTAAGTCCATATACCAAGAAAGCAATAGTTTCACAAAAATACTTGTTTTGCAAACTTTCAAAACAACAAACATGATTTCATTGAATTAAATAAAATTAATATTGATGAAATCATATGTAAGCATATAAACATGAAACAAAAATATATTTTTCAATTGTTTCATATTTAAACATGAAAAAACCAAAACAATAAATATGAAAGATATTTATATAAACTTGGAAACCAAAATATGTATGTATATATGAGACTATATATACATGGAAACCAAAGCTAAATTGTGTATATATATATATATATATATAACTATATATATATAAACAAAGCTTGTGTTGTATATATATATAAGTATATATATACAAGGAAACCAATATAATGTGTGTGTATATATGATTGAGCTTAAAGTACCAACACACATAATATAAACCTAAACTACTGTTACCCAAGCTTGATCTTGATTTTCATTATAGCTCAACTTGGTAAACTTGGATGAAGCTTGAACTTGGATCTTTAACTTGATAGCAAGGCTTCACTCTACTATTCCACCAACCTCCATTTGATATGATCGTTATGACGCAATCCATCCATCCTCCAACTCGTTGTTTGCCTAGAATAAATACGAAAACACAAACACTAGACAAACTCCATCCTCCAACTCGTTGTTTGCCTAGAATAAATACGAAAACACAAACACTAGACAAACAATATTAGAGTAAATTGTTTGTTAAACATCATCAAAATAAGAAGACCAACAGATTAAAACTGGACTTGGTTATTCATCTTCAGGAAAACATAAAAAATTTCAACCTTCTTTTGTAAAAGAAATTAATTTAACTCTTTTTGCACCCATTGCTCATGCATCATCCACTATGTGGTAGAATGAGACATACTTCAATGAATTTGTTAGAATTAATATAAAGGAGTTTTTATTTCTAGACCCATTTATTTATTCAACTTTACATATAAACCCAATCATTATTACTTGTATCTTTAAACCCAATTTTCAAAATACAATACTTTCATATGGCCTCCCTAAGTTTTTTCTTAAATTCTAATTATAGTCTTTCAGATTTTATCTCATGTAAGTGGGCCCCTTTAAAAATAAAGAAAAATGAGAACGAGAGAAGAGAAGAAGAGAGAGGGGGGTTTCCCTGTTTCTCTCTCCTCCCACGCCGCGGGAGAGGAGAGAAACAGGCGGAACCCCCCCTTCCTCTCCTCTCCTTTTCTCTCACTTCATTTCTCAATTAACTACCCTCTCTCACTCCATTAATATATTCTTACACTCTCTCTTATAAACCCATCAATTAATCTTCACCCACTTATCAATCCAGCATTAATGTGTAGGGTGTGATTTTGGTGGATATTCGTCACTTTCGTAGCAATTGAAGGTACAATTTTGCAATTTACTCAACTACCAAGTTTATAGCATTAATGTCTCATTTTATTCATGACAATTATTTGACATTGTTATTTATGAATTCATAAAAAATAGTAAAATTTATTACATTTGATAAAATATTAGTTAAATGAGATTTTAGTCAACCACTCATTAATTTCACCTTAGTTATTTCACATGATTATTTCACATTAATTTCTCATTATTATTCATGAATTCATAAAAATTAGTTAAATTTGTTATATTTGATAAAATTTTAGTTAAATTTGATTTTAGTATAGAATGATAACCTGTAAATATAGCATGAAATACAAGCTAGACTTGTAAGTATAGCATGATATCTTGTAAGTATAGCATGATGCACTATAAGTATAGCATGATGCACTGTAAGTATTATTTTCATCGGGAATGATTATTATTGCAGCTTCCATTACAATAGTTTATCGTTACAATGGAAACAAAAGAGTGAGCTTTACACTTGTAAAACTTCTCTCTACAAAGAAAACAAAAAAAGGGATATTCCCTAAAAACACACACAAAAACTATTTATTAGCCTTTGCTTGCGTGAGATCTTTGCCTATGTCTGGGACGTTTTGATCCGTAGACCACTGATTCAATGATCTAAGTTGATCATGAAGAAGGCTTTGATGTTGATATTTTGTTTTGGAAACAAGAACAGAAGTAAATATCTTAACAGGTAAGATAAGTACTCTTCCTAATATCAAATTAATGTTTAA